GCACGCACGCACGCACACACACACACACACACACACACACGCACACCAGGGTTATTTCAGTATCATTGAGATACTATTATAATTTTTATTAATAGTTTGAAGTCATTTTTATTTTTATATTTTCCATTTTCATTTTAATTTTTATTAAAGTTTTAGCAATTTTGGTGTGTATTTTAGTCATTTTTTATGTTCTGTTTCTTTTAATGTCTATATAGTTTTTAATTATTTTTATTGCAGTTTAAGTTATTTTAATGCATCAAGTTAAACTAAATGAAAGTGAGAAATGTTGCCTTGGCAATTATCTGAAATAAAATAAGTAATGCAATAAAATAATAATACTAATAAAAATGACAAAACAAAGAACAAAATTACTAAAACATTAATTAAAATTAAAATTAAAACAGAAAATATAAAATTGTGTTAATTAAAAACTATTTAGGTTATTATAGTTAACTAAAACGAAAACCATAAAAAAACATGTTTTTTTTTTCTTACTTAAAATAAATGTTAACTGAAATGAAATAAACTATTCTAATTTACTTTATTTAGGCTTGTTGTCAAATATTTCTCTTTTTAATTTAGTTTACCTAAAACTAAACCTGAAATTAAAATTAATAAAAACTATATAGACATTTAAAAAAAACACACAAACTATTAAAAATGACATAATAAAAAAAAACATAAAATTAATAAAACTTTAATTAAAATTTCAATGAAAACAGAAAATTATAACAGTATCTCAATGATACTAAAATATAACACTGAGACATAAAACATCCTCAGAATCAAGACAGATGTTCTGTGTTCAGTAGTTCAGCTCATAATCACATTATGATATAATATTTCAAACACACACTGTTTTAAAACTAAAAAGTCACGACAAACTTAAATCAGATCTGTCTATTTTCCAGACTCTTACATAATTATAGTGATTTGGGGAATTTTGTGGTCGTTGCTCTAATGAGTTTTCAGATGCACTGTGTTTCCACTAAAGTTTGACAGCTGTATTTGTGGTTTTTGTCACCGATTATGATATTACGGGCAACATTAGACATTCGGGTCAAAATGATGTGGATCATCACTTACATATTTTGATCATGACTTGATTTGACTGATTTCTGTAGTCTTGTGCTAAATATAGACGCCTTAAAAACACAGCAGCAAAAACTGTCCGCTCGAAAATAATCGTTCTATCTTCCCTCGAGTCGTTCAAATGAACATGAAAGCAGAAAATCTAAAAAATAAAATGAATTCAAAATATTAACAAAACTGATGTGGCACTACATGGCCGGCTGTGTTTCTTACCTCATGCATGTCATACGCGAAATCCCCTGTGAAGACAATCACATGCTGTAAAGCACACGCACAAGCATAACTCTGACACAAAACTATAACTAAACCATCCAAACTATCATCACTGGGACGACAAACTAATCTGCTCTTACTCAGTTAAAGGAACAGTTCACACTGAAAATGTGCTCATCCCAGATTAGGATGAGTTTGTTTCTTCATCAGGTTTGGAGAAATGTAGCATTGCATCAGTGTCTCACTGCAAGTGAATGGGTGCCGTCAGAATGAGAGTCCAAACAGCTGATAAAAACATCACAATAATCCACAAGTAATCCACAGCACTCCACTCCATCAGTTAACATCTGGAGAAGAGAAAAAATTTAAAGTTTTGGTTTGTAAACGGTGTGCAGATTTCTCTCCTGATTCAGACCAGAACACTTTTTCACTGGAGGAAGCGTTATTATGGATTATGGACTCAATATATTTTAGTTATAAACGTCTTAATGCTGGATTTGTTTCAGCTTTTGATGTGAACTGATGGACTGGAGTGCTGTGGATTATTGTGATGTTTTTATGACTCTCATTCTGACGGCACCCATTCACTTGCAGTGAGACACTGACGCAATGCTGCATTTCTCCAAACCTGATGAAGACACAAACTCATCTTGATCTGGGATGGGCACATTTCCAGTGCTTTTTAATTTTGGCCGAGCTATTAGTTTGCGGTCTCACCGATGTGCAGAATGACGTCGTACATCCCCATCTGCGTCTCTTTCTGCAGTCGACTCAGAGACTGAGGGTTTTCGTTGCCCATGTCACCAAACAGAGCGAATCTGGGGCTGAAGCTCACGCTTTCATTCAGAGACGTGAAGTAGAAGATGTCGCTCCATCCGGCGTCGCTGCCGCAGTGATACACTGAAACACACACACATCTATTAACATCTCTATCGTCCAGGTCACACACACTGCGTGATGTCTGTGTGAAGGTTACCGTATGAAGCCGCTGGGGTCAGATCGGTCAGCGTGACTCGGTGGACGTACATCGTTCTGTTCTCCGGCCCTCCGTCGATAAACACGCTTGCGTCTCCCTCCGCCGTGTGACTGAAGAGCTTCCCGCCCCACAGACCGTACTCAACAACGCTCTCGGTTTTATTAGCGGTGGACCATGTGACCAACATCGAGTTCTTCACACCTGAGGAAAAACACTCCGTTATAAACACCTGCTCGGGTCACATGACCCTCTTTACTGTCACTGAGCAAAGTACAAACACAGAGACAATGAAATATCATTTCCAACACATTTCAACACTCCCTCGCATTACTGTAATTATGAAAAATTACTATATATTATTTAAAAAGCGAAGTCTTTATACATCAGCTGTCAAAAATCATAACTGTTCTCAAAAAAAAAAATCTTAATTTTTTTTGAATGACATTTTCAAACTAAAATAAAATAAAATAATAGATTTATTGAGATTTTCAAACAACGTTATGCTGAAAAACATCAACTAATATCAAATAAAATATTAAATATCATGACATTTCAATCCTCTCTCACCTGAAACTGGCATCACTGTAATTATGAAAAATTATTACATATTATTTAAATCGTGAAGTCTTTATACATCAGCTGTCAAAAATCATAACTGTTCTCAAAAAAAAAAAAAAATCGTAATTTTTTTTTTTGAATGACATTTTCAAATATCGGCTGAAAAATATATAATAATAAATATATTGACATTTTCAAACAAAATTCTGCTGAAAAACATCAATTTTAAATAAAATACAACCCTTCCTCATCTGAAATTGTCATTATTTCAAAGACAAAAAAAAATGCATATTATTTAATTTGTGAAATCTTTAAACATCAGCTGTCAGAAATCATAACCGCTCTGCTGAAAAATATCAACTAACATGAAATAAAATATAAAATATCATGGCATTTCAACCCTCCCTCACCTGAAATTGTGACTAGGAAAAAATATTATATATCATTTAAATCGTGAAGTCTTTAAACATCAGCTGTCAAAAATCATAACTCTTCTCAAAAAAAATTTTTTTAAATTTTTTTTAATGACATTTTCAAACTAAAATTAAATAAAAGAATAGATTTATTGAGATTTTCAAACAACGTTATGCTGAAAAACATCAACTAATATCAAATAAAATATTAAATATCACGGCATTTCAACCCTCCCTCACCTGAAAATGTGACTAGGAAAAATTATTATATATTATTTAAATCGTGAAGTCTTTAAACATCAGCTGTTAAAAATCATAACTCTTCTAAAAAATAAAAAAAAATCTTAATTTTTAAGTGAAATGTGCAACTAAATATCAAGTAAAATTAAATAAAATAATAGATATATTGACATTTTCAAACAACATTAAGCTGAAAAACATCAACTAATATCAAATAAAATATTAAATATCATGGCATTTCAACCCTCCCTCACCTGCAAATGTGACTAGGAAAAATTATTGTATATTATTTAAATCGTGAAGTCTTTAAACCTCATAAAAAATGCCTCACTTTCTGCATTCAAAATGAATTTTTCCTATTTGTTGAGGTATAAAATGTGCATTTAGCATTTTCAGTTTCTGCTGAAAAATATAAACTGATTTAAAATAAAATATTAAATGACTCTGCTGTCATATAACATAATTACACTCACGAGAGCCAAAAAAATTATCGGTATGAAGACTACAAATCCAAGAAATCACACAATAACTGCAGGGTTTCCATGGAAACCCGTCTGTCTTTGTTTTGATTGACAGCTGTCAATCATGAAGAGTGAAATCTCACCTGGATACGAGACATGCACCTGTTCAGGTTGAGTTTCTATGAGCGGCGCACCGGGCGAGTTTTTATTTTTTTAATTTTTTTTATTTTGCATTTCAAGCATCATAACAGAACAAAATAGGCTAACATAAACACAACTGTAAGTCCTCACAGACTGAGACATTCATATTAATCATACTATAACAGAGAAATAAACCATCATGCAAGACATTAATCCAAATAAAATAAAATAAAATATATTCATGCAACCATAAACAATATAGGGGATTAAACACAAAATCACACTTATTAAACAAATCAAATAATTTCTTGGCTTTATCACTTCTCATAATTTTCAGGACCTCTGTATACATGGCAAGCTCCTTTATTATTTATTAAAGAGTTATTAAAATGAACCTCCAAATTTCAACATGTCCCAAGTAATAGATGGAAAAATAGATATTCTTTGTTTAATCCGTAACATACTTCAGTCCAAACCAGATTAACCAGATAACAATGGAAAAATAAGTATTCAACAGTTTCTACATCATTATTACAGAATTGTTACAAATATTACAATCCACATTTAAAGCGTTCGTCAAATCCGAGTACATTTTCTCGCGCTGTAATGGATGTTGACAGCTGATTTAAAAATAATAATAATAATAATAAAATAAATTAATACTTTTATTCATCAAGGACGCATTAAATTAATCAAAAGTGAGAGTAAAGACATGTATAATGTTACAAAATATTTCTATTTCAAATAAACGCTGCTCTTTTGAACTTTCTGTTCTTCTAAAATAAAATGAATCAGTTTCCATAAAAATATTGAACAGTACACCTGGGCTGCGTTCAGCCCCGACAAAACGGTGCAAAACGTTTTTTAAACTGATCACTGTTGTTGTGCTATGTTATTGTAATATTTACCATTATATAATCGGAGGAGTATAGAAAAGTTTATGAAAGTGTCACTCCACAATGCAATAGCAAAATATATAAATATGTAAAGTATTTTTATGTTACATTAATCAGTGTCTAGCACACCTTCCTAAGGAAAGGATATGGACCAGAAGACATTGCAATTACTAAATGATATTTAGACAGACTTAAAGAAGTTCCAGATCTATACTTGTGCTCTTATTATTTTAGTTATTTTGCCTTTAATGTAAATAAACATGTGCAAACAATATTCTTGCCCTTGTGAATTTATTTGCATGTTAATTACATTGTGCCAGTTGTCTCTTTAATACCGCGTGGTTTACATACATGTTGCTGCTGATTGGGCTGACATGTTTGACACACCCACCAAACAAGAGAAAACGCATCTCAAACCCCGTTGCACACCGTTTCCAGGAAACATGTCGTTCAACCCGGAAACCGTAGCAAAACGGTGCACAACGGTTTGAGCTTGAACTTGCCCCAGGTGTGCGTGCACGTCCTGACCAAACACACGTGAGCTAGCGCAGATTACGACGCAAATGCAGAGAATAGGGTAATGATTCCCAGCGAACGTTCCTGGATCCCAAATCAGACGTTATAACGTTCTGTCGGTTAGACAGGATAGTTTAAGAAAATAAAACGTTCCCCTAACATTCCCACGATGTTCCCAGGCTAGAATGTTCATTTTGGTTGCCAAAAAAATTTAGTAATCGTTCTCAGTATGTTAAAAGAATGTTCTTAATTGGTTGGCAAAGAAATTAGAAATCATTCTCAGTACATCCAAAGAACATTATTATTTGGTCCCAAAAATATCCAAACGTTCTCAGTACGTTCCCAGAACGTTCTAATTTTGTTCCCCAAAAATAAACAAGCGTTCGCAGCACATTCCCAGAACGTTCTAATTTTCCTAGAACGTTCTAATTTTGTTCCCCAAAAAATTATCCGAATGTTCGCAGTACGTTCCTAGAACGTTCTAATTTTGTTCCCCAAAAAATTATCCGAATGTTCTCAGTATGTTCCCAGAACGTTCTAATTTTGTTCCCAAAAAAATAACCAAACGTTCTCAGTACGTTCCCAGAACATTCTAATTTTGTTCTGAAAAAATAACCAAACGTTCTCAGTACGTTCCCAGAACATTGTAATTTTGTTCCCCAAAAATAAACAAATGTTCTCAGTACGTTCCTAGAACGTTCTAATTTTGTTCCCCAAAAAAATAACCAAACATTCTCAATACGTTCCTGGAACATTCAAATTTTGTTCCCCAAAAATAAACAAACGTTCTCAGTACATTCCTAGAACGTTCTAATTTTGTTCCCCCCAAAATAACCAAATTTTCTCAGAACATTCCCAGAACATTCTAATTTTGATCCCAAAAAAATAAACAAACGTTCTCAGTATGTTCCCAGAATGTTCTAATTTTGATCCCAAAAATAACCAATCGGGAATCAAACAGGAATGTTCTCTTTGCTGGGATGGCTCTATCATCTGACAGCATCCCTGTGCTGTAGTACCAGATCAGTCCTGCTTCTTTCCGCAGAGATGATGGAAGTTTCACAGTCAGTGACGTTCCATCCGGATCGTATGTTTTGGAAATCTCATCTCCAACCTACAGATTCCAGCCTGTGCGGGTTGACATCACCACCACAGGGAAGATGAGGTGTGTGGATGTGAACTTTGACTTTTCCTATCAGTTTGACCGAGTTACTGCAGTGAAACACACTTACACTGCATGATACGCCAGTGTTTGTGTGAAAATAACCACAGAAGCATTTATTTTAATGTGTTTTGAGTCAGTCGCGGTTGGTTGCTCGTGCAGGGCTTGTGTGGTCAACTACATCAAGACCTCAGAGGTGATCCGACTGCCGTACCCGCTTCAGATGCGATGCGTCGGTCTACATTCATACTTCATCCCGCGGGAAACCTGGGGCTGGTCAGATTTCCTCAACCCGATGGTGCTTTGCCGTAAAATCACTCTCGTCTTGTAAACGCAGCACCAGTTTCACGCTTTACTCTTCACTCTCTCAGGTTCTCATGATGGTTCTTCCTCTTCTGATAATCCTTCTTCTTCCTAAAGTCTTCAATCCTAGCGATCCTGAGATGAGACAGGTATGAACTCCTTCACAATGCAGGAACGCTTTGCTCTGATTGATCATGCGATTGATTGATTGATTGATTGATTGATTGATTGACAGGAGATGGAGCAGTCCATGAACATGCTGAACTCCAACCAGGAGCTTCCAGATGTCTCGGAGCTCATGACCAAGTTCTTCTCACCACCCAAAAGTCACGGGAAGACAGGAGGCGGAGTCAGAGGCCATAGGGGTGGAGCTCCGTGTGCAAGTTAGTATTTTCCACATTGCAGTAATAAATCTTGCAAAAAAATGTTAATGGTACTTTTAAAAAGACGATTTTCTTCATGCAGAATAGATTTTTTCATTTCTGCTGAATTCGATCTGTTCATATGCATGAAAACAGACACACGTTCACCAGTTCCACATGTAAAAATACAGACTCACGGCTGATTCCTGTGATGTTGTGACGGATCTCTGCCGGTGGCCTGGGTTCAGCCGGTAATCAGGTCATGATTCAGTCACTGGTGTTGCAACACAGAGTCAAAGGCTGAAATGAATCAGATAAAACAAATGAAACTACAGTAAAGAGTCCAGATAAAGACTTTAACCCTTGCAGTGACGGGCTGAAGTCCAGCGCTGATAGTGGACACTTTGCTTCTTTCTCTCACTGGTGTCGGTCACACACTCTCAACGGTAAGACTTCACATCAACGACGGCGGATCGTTCCTCCGGCTGTGATTCTCATGCTTTTCTCTTCTGTCTCTCATTCAGATGATGGTGAGGCTGTGGGTTTGTCTCTTCCTGCTGGCGCACGTTCAGAACGAACCGCTTCCTGCCAAAAACATCCATCTGCTCGCTCCAGAGGAGCACAAACTCATCCTGAACCTCGGACAGAAAGGTCAGATCAGTGCTTATGCTGCTTTACATCAGCACTGATTATTAATTCATCTTCCTGTAAATGATTCATCAGAAATAAATGCCTGTCTTCATAATCTGGCATCACCTGGGCCTCTTTTTAATTATAATAATGTTAACAAATATCTATTTAGTCCTAGTTTTAGGCTGCTGTTGTCCTTTATTGCTCGATAATCTAATGAATCAAACTCAACAGCTCGTTCATTGAGGCACTCGTGTTTCAGAATATAGAAATACTAGTTTGAGTGAATTTAGAGCAGGTTTGGTTCCACTGTGACATCTGACCCATCAGAGCAGAGGGCAAAGGTCAAGCAGGACTCAGGGCGTTTTCATTGTAATTTGTTCTCATAAAGACTAATTTCATCAAGTTAACAAACACTAGAGATAACACCTGATAACAGATTAAAGACTGATGATTAACTAATGAAAGATTATCAAGACAAACATGTTTTCTTCAGAAAGTATTATCTTACAGTACATGACACTTATAGTATAGGATATTTTTATATTTTCAGTTTTCAATTTTAGTAATTTTTATTTTAATAATTTTAATTTCACTTATTTTATTATTTATTTGCATATTGTTTTATATATTTTATTATTTTTGTTTTAGTTTTAGCAATTTTAGTACTTCAGTATTTCAGTTAGTTGCCGAGGCAACATTTATTCTTATTTTTCTTTTTTAAATATTTCTATTTAGCTTTATTTCTACATATATAATAATTATTTTTAGCTTGATTTCTATATATATTTTACTTGTTTTTTTATTTTAGTTCTAGAAATGTTAGTACGTCAGTGTTAATGTTTTTAAGTTAGCTGCCAAGGCAACATTTCTTCTTTTTTTCTTATCTTTTTTTAATATTTTTATTTAGTTTTATTTCTATATATATTTAACATATTTTATTATTTTTTGTTTTAGATTTAGAAATTTGTACTTCAACATATACACATATATTTATTTCAGTTAGTTGCCAAGGCAACATTTTTTTTTACATATTAAACTTTTTTGTTTGTTTAGTTTACATTTTGTTTTACTTTTGTACTTCAAATTTTATTTTTTTTGTTTTTCAGTTACTTGCCAATGCAACATTTCAAATTTATTAATATTTATATTTCATTTCAGCTTAATTACCAAAAACGATTTTTAATAGTTAAAATTAACATAACATCGCTGTTTCAGAATAACATCACTGATGAATCATCCACAATAAGACCAGGAGCATGAATCAATGGAGTCAATTAATAGAGTCATGAATCAGTGGAGTCAGATAACAGAGTCATGAATCAATGGAGTCAATTAATAGAGTCATGAATCAGTGGAGTCAGATAACAGAGTCATGAATCAATGGAGTCAATTAATAGAGTCATGAATTAATGGAGCCAGTTAATAGAGTCATGAATCATTTGAGTCAATTAATAGAGTCATGAGTCAATGGAGTCAGTTAATAGAGTCATGAATCAGTGGAGTCAGATAACAGAGTCATGAATCAATGGAGTCAATTAATAAAGTCATGAATCAGTGGAGTCGATTAACAGAGTCATGAATCAATAGAGTCAGTTAACAGAGTCATGAATCAGTGGAGTCAGATAACAGAGTCATGAATCAATGGAGTCAATTAATAAAGTCATGAATCATTTGAGTCAATTAATAAAGTCATGAATCAGTTGAGTCAATTAATAGAGTCATGAATCAATGGAGTCAGTTAATAGAGTCATGAATCATTTGAGTCAATTAATAGAGTCATGAATCAATGGAGTCAGTTAATAGAGTCATGAATCATTTGAGTCAATTAATAAAGTCATGAATCAGTGGAGTCGATTAACAGAGTCATGAATCAATAGAGTCAGTTAACAGAGTCATGAATCAGTGGAGTCAGATAACAGAGTCATGAATCAATGGAGTCAATTAATAGAGTCATGAATTAATGGAGTCAGTTAATAGAGTCATGAATCATTTGAGTCAATTAATAAAGTCATGAATCAGTGGAGTCGATTAACAGAGTCATGAATCAATAGAGTCAGTTAACAGAGTCATGAATCAGTGGAGTCAGATAACAGAGTCATGAATCAATGGAGTCAATTAATAGAGTCATGAATTAATGGAGTCAGTTAATAGAGTCATGAATCATTTGAGTCAATTAATAAAGTCATGAATCAGTGGAGTCGATTAACAGAGTCATGAATCAATAGAGTCAGTTAACAGAGTCATGAATCAGTGGAGTCAGATAACAGAGTCATGAATCAATGGAGTCAATTAATAGAGTCATGAATTAATGGAGTCAGTTAATAGAGTCATGAATCATTTGAGTCAATTAATAAAGTCATGAATCAGTGGAGTCGATTAACAGAGTCATGAATCAATAGAGTCAGTTAACAGAGTCATGAATCAGTGGAGTCAGATAACAGAGTCATGAATCAATGGAGTCAATTAATAGAGTCATGAATTAATGGAGTCAGTTAATAGAGTCATGAATCATTTGAGTCAATTAATAAAGTCATGAATCAGTGGAGTCGATTAACAGAGTCATGAATCAATAGAGTCAGTTAACAGAGTCATGAATCAGTGGAGTCAGATAACAGAGTCATGAATCAATGGAGTCAATTAATAGAGTCATGAATTAATGGAGTCAGTTAATAGAGTCATGAATCATTTGAGTCAATTAATAAAGTCATGAATCAGTGGAGTCGATTAACAGAGTCATGAATCAATAGAGTCAGTTAACAGAGTCATGAATCAGTGGAGTCAGATAACAGAGTCATGAATCAATGGAGTCAATTAATAGAGTCATGAATTAATGGAGTCAGTTAATAGAGTCATGAATCATTTGAGTCAATTAATAAAGTCATGAATCAGTGGAGTCGATTAACAGAGTCATGAATCAATAGAGTCAGTTAACAGAGTCATGAATCAGTGGAGTCAGATAACAGAGTCATGAATCAATGGAGTCAGGTCTGTTCCAGGGCACTGCGGCGGACGCTCTGACGCTCGACACCGAGAACTACCTGCACGACAACCAGCGCTTCACCACCAAAGACCGCGACAACGACAACTACTTCCAGAACTGTGCCCAGCTGGATTTCCAGGGCGTGGCGGGCGGTGGCTGGTGGTACGACGCGTGCGCCGGCGCGAACCTGAACCGCAGGAACGTCATCTACTGGCAGAAGGACTGCAACAAAGAACACCTGTGCAAATACGCCTGGATGATGGTGAAACCCTCAGAGCAGCTCAAAGTGATTCACTCTGGAGACTGTGCGAGAGACGAACTCTGATTATCCTGAATTATCCTGAATTAAAGGGTTAGTTCACCCAAAAATGAAATTCTGTCATTAATTACTCACCCTTGTGTTGTTCGAAACCCATAAGACCTTCGTTCGTCTTCGGAACACAATTTAAGATATTTTTGAAGTCATGAATCATTTGAGTCAATTAATAGAGTCATGAATCAATGGAGTCAGTTAATAGAGTCATGAATCATTTGAGTCAATTAATAGAGTCATGAATCAGTGGAGTCAGTTAATAGAGTCATGAATCATTTGAGTCAATTAATAGAGTCATGAATCAGTGGAGTCAGTTTCATGGTGATTGTGAATCACTCACCATCAGTCTGCAGGCTGCGGTCAGTCCACCGTGTTTCTCGATTGTGATTCTGACGTTGTTCTGTCTCAGGTTTTCCCCGGGACTGTTATGAACTGTGGCAGAGCTCCGGCGGTCAGGCGCGAGACGGCCTGTATCTGATCCGCCCCGGAGACTCGCCCATCGCCGTCTACTGCGCCATGGAGGAGGGAGGATGGACGGTGGTCCAGCACATCACGGTCAACAGCAGCGTGGACTTCGACCGCGGCTGGGATGAGTACAAGCACGGCTTCGGATCCCTGACCGGAAACCACTGGCTGGGGAACGAGCACCTGCACCGGCTGACCCGCGGCCCGGCCCGGTACAAGCTCGGCATCAAGCTGGTGGACAAAGATGCCGTGACCAAGACGGGCGAGTACGAGCCGGCACTGGTGGAGGACGAGGAGGCACAGTACCGGCTGCGTCTCGGTCTGTTCCAGGGCACTGCGGCGGACGCTCTGACGCTCGACACCGAGAACTACCTGCACGACAACCAGCGCTTCACCACCAAAGACCGCGACAACGACAACTACTTCCAGAACTGTGCCCAGCTGGATTTCCAGGGCGTGGCGGGCGGTGGCTGGTGGTACGACGCGTGCGCCGGCGCGAACCTGAACCGCAGGAACGTCATCTTATTCAACATTTGTCTCTCTACTGCGTCACTTGTGGACGCGCATTCATGACAGTACCATGACACGAGCGTGACGGCGCTGACCCAGATCCGGCGTAATGACGTCAGTGACGCAGTAGAGACGAAAATGTGGAATAAAGTCATTATTTTTGTTTTCTCTGCGCAAAAAAAGTATTCTCGTAACTTTGTAACTTTA